AAAAAAAAAAAAAAAAAAGTAATATTCACGCCAGCAACTTGTCACAGGGATCGGTTTTCGGCTTTTGCTGGTGGAAGGACCAAAAAAGTCAGGTTTTTTTCCAGTTACAGGGTGTTTTTTGTAAAGTCAACGCGCTCACTAAACTATTCCTCAATTAAGTGTTAGTTATATGTTTTGACTAAATCTCCAATTTTTCCTAGAAATATTGCGTCTTTCTTATATTAGTTTTCTTGAAATTGGAATCTACAATTTGAATTGAAGCTATAGATACTCTCCCTATAGATGGAAAGACCTACAAGTTGTAGCTACTCGAGAGGTTAATGCTTGAAATCACGATGAGTTTATGTAATATAAGATAATGAGACGATGGTTACAATAGCTGCAACAATTACCCGTGATGTTTGATGTAATTCCGAATAAATTAACACCCGGCTGTGCTTGTTAAAAAAAAATCTTCAATCAACTTATGTAAATTACACAGACAACCAAACAAAAGATGGAGTTGTTCATAATATTTAGAAACACAAACATATCTAGTTGCATAACTACTGTTTTGTTGTATTTTTTCTAGAAATAGTGAGTTTTGGTTAGTAACCTAAACCTCACCTCATGTTTACTTACACTTGATGAAAGATAACTACATTGCAGCATATGCGAAAACATAAATTGCATCATATGCGAAAAACAATAATATTAATGAATCTGTTGACTTACCTGTACATCAATCGACGCTTGTTCATTTCATCTTCCTCCTTAGATGCCCCACGAGCTACGGTCCCTTTAATAGGCTTAGCTTCCAAAACGCCGTCCCTATCCAACCTTAAGAACCTCTCGGGCGAAGAACAGCAAATAAACAACTTCTCTCTTGGAAAACTGAGCCATGCAGCATATGGAGCCGGGTTTTTTTCTCGAAGGCTCGAATATAATCCCAAAGAATCTATTTCGCCAACAGTTATCATCCTCATTTGTGTTGTAAGACACAGCTCGTAACTTTCCCCTTCCTTTATAAGTTCCTGACATTTTTCAATGTCCGAAACATATTGCTCCTCTGATTTATCGGCTGAAAATCTATTTCCGGCAGATTTCTTTTGGGAAAGTTTTAATGATAAAGACTTTGGTTTTTTTGGTGGATAAAGTTTTATATGCAGAAGCTTTTGTTCGATTTTATCCATCCACGGTGTTGTACTTGCACAGTTTTCAACTATAGACAAGATATAAATATCATCACAGTGATGATCTATTGCAACGAGGTTATCTGCAAAGAAAAGGCAAGCGTCGGGGGCCTTCGACTCGTGGCGATTCGTGTGGGCCCCACATTCAACTTTAAGATCATACCTGCATTCAGAGTGATAACCCCACCACTGATTATGAGACGTGCAAATCTCATATTTAATGTGAGTTGCTCAACTGAAGGAAGGGGAGAAGGCTGAACAAATATATATACTGTTTAATTATCCCAAAAAAATGGAAAAGAATCTCATGACAGCAGCATTCTTATATTACATTGCATGGCAAACTTCTCAGGACTTCAAATCAGTTAACAACAACAACATACCAAGTATATTCCCAACTGGTTGGGGTCTGGGGGGTCAGTTGTACGCAGACTTTACCCTTGTAATTATACAAGGATGCTGTTTCCGTAGCGACCCAAGGTGCATTGCGTCGTTTGATATATTTTTTTCTAGAAACTTCACTAATAGAAGAAGCACTAGAATTTAATTGAGTCATTTTGATTTAGTCCATTATTAGCACTATGCCAGGAGAATTGTCAACAATGACTCTTCCAGCTCCATTTGCAATAGACACAGGACTTCAAATCAATTAATGTTTGAAATTATTGTTAATGGCACAACTGACTTTTTATTTGCTATATTCGGCTAAACTCCAGTTTAATTATTGTAATTTACCCTGTGGCCCATAAAATATGGGATATAGCTGGACATACCCGATGTAACCAATAAAGCCACCATAGAAATCAAAAGGCAATCCTTCATAATCTGCTGAATCATATTGAAATGACTGGAGCTCCTAAATCATGGATACACAAAACATTGCATTTGTTGGTACTCGCACTAAAACAGCAAAATAACACATAACTGAAAAAATAAAGAACAAGTTAGATAGCAATGAGACAGAACAAGATTGAACCGTGTTTGATAGATAAGCACTTAACAGAGAAATTGATTAAAAAAAACTACCATGAAAATCATGCAGCTGAGTTTTTCGGAATAAAATTTCCTCAAAAGGACTCAAACATTGGAGTGTAGCCTCATAATAATTGCCTGCCTATCTTCTTTAACGTCATTTACGATCCATACTGCTAATAAGGAAATGCATTTTGGGCATATCTCACCGATGTTAAAAAAGTTTAAAAAATCAGAATCTCGTGAATACCTTATTCAAAAAGTTAAAAAATCCATCTTCCAAGTAACTCCTCGTAATGTTGCCGTCAGCATCTTCACTTGATAGATGGCCTCCATGATTAAATGCCATATCACTGCAAGAAAAGTGTTTCTCAGTAAATATAAAAAAGCGGCAATACTCTCCTTACTCCAGTAAAAGCAAAGGTAATGTAAATATAAAAACAAAAATCTTATCCAATGTATAATTACGATCATACTCCAATCTCTTGTTCAGCAATCTAAATGTCAACTGTCTCCAGAGTGACCCTCCTTTACCACCCATAAAGGAAAAGCGAGCTCTGCGCTACAAACGAAGAGATAATTCATAATTATCCATTACGAAATATGCAAATTACGCTCAGGAAAGACAAATTATATATACAAAATATGGATTATAATTCCCTCATATTAGAGCGTGATTTTATTTCTCCATGAACACAAACCATATTCCCGAAAGTTATATAAAAGGAATTTCCAAAAGTTACAGAAACCTTATTCCCAGCTCATTTCACTTATGACAGCAGTATCTTTTACATAGATTTTTATGCATGTCAAACATTTAAGTGCATTTGATTCTACTCAGGCTAAGGGTGAACTCCTAAATAGCAGTTTCAGAATGCTAAGTGGTAAAAGATTTCAGTGCTTGATGATAATTACCATGGGCACTTAATTATAAAATTGATTAAAATCCAAAATTGGCTGGTTAACATGAAACTATCAGCAATATTTATAATTCCATAATGTTATCCGACCGTACCTCTAATCCTCAATTTCATATAGGACAATGACCTAAACTGAACTCTTTGGCCAATTCAATTAGACGCACTAAGAAAAATTAAACATGAGGGGAAAAATTACATTAAATTACATTAAAAATAAAAAGGAAAGAGGGAATAAGTGAACCATATCAGTTGATGAACTATCTAGCCAAAACGTATTCCCTGCTTGGCAATCTCCAAAAAGCTCGAAGAATATATTTTCTGCCCCACCAACTTGGCAGACAGAACATTCAACTTTTCTCCATTTCAACTTCAAAAATTTTGTTTTTCCTGAAGGGGGTGTACTAATTGAGCTCCCGAGTCCAGTCTTCTTGTAGCACAGTCCATTCACCAAATGCTTATTTCTTACTGCATCTTGCAATACCTGAGTTACATCAGGCACCTGCATGCATACTAAGTAAAGATCACTGCTCAGAGTGATTGAAAAAAGAATATCCTAAGATGGATATATCTTACTCCGAAAAAATTATGGCATCTTACATAATCCAATCAATAGAAATTGTTGGTTATTATAAAAAAAATATTAGTAAAAAAAAAAATACTCGAGGTTGATAAAAAGAAAAATCCAAATAAAAAATATAAACATATTACTTTGAAGTAGATTACCAGAATAATGAGCCTTCCCCATGCTTCCTGAGGACGATCTCAATCCATACCAATAGTCCTTTGTGATTTCTGCAAAGTTTTTTAATATTTGCCTCCCATGACAAGTAGCAACACTCTCTGGATGAAACTGGATCGACGAAGTAAAACCAATTAATTTTTAAAAAAAAAAAATTGCAAATGAAAATATAAGACTTGCTTGCTATTAGCAAGGATATTAACTTGCAAACCGTAATGAGGTCTACTGGAGTGCATAATTCCCATAAGAATATTTCCACTCTTCACATTCTTTGATTTTGCGGATAAAGAATGAGCTAAATTGTGAAACGCAACATGTCTCTCAAAACCAACTGAGTATGAATCGAATTTTTTGATACCAAAAAATGGGATTGTTTCAGATGAAGACGCCCAGGCTATAGGTATTAGTTCAACGGGTAGTGAGCTCGGGTCTATCACAAGGGAGTGATATCGAACCACCTGTGGCAAGTGAATGCATAAAAATATCAAATCAGTTTCTTATCTGTTTCTACTTGATACCTTATAGACTGCAGTATAGTACAAACAAACAAGACAGCATCAGTTATATAATATATGCAGCAATCAGAAAAAAAATTCGGACATTGGTCAAGGCTCATAATAATCTTCGAGAGAATTTTATAAGTATCCAATGTCATATATTGTATAGTTCTCAGCTGTGGCTCTAATATTAAGTTACTATTGGCCAAACTATACACAGACAGTAAGGCTTAAAAATTGAAATATTACCAATTTTAAACAAAGGCATTTACGATAAACCTGACCTTAAATCCCAAATTTGATCCAGAGGGGATCCCGTGGAACAACTCACAGTTATTATGCTCAATATCGCTGCAAAAGGTCAAACGATAAAAAAAATGAATAAAAAAAAGGCTTAAACAATTATGGCTACTAACTGACTTATGCACTGGAAAGAAGTAGTTTTATTATTTAGATCTAACAATCAGGAGTTTAAATTCATAAAATAAAAAAATAAAAAAAATAAAAAAAAAAATAAAAAAAAAAACAAACAAACTATCAACATTTGAATAAATTTTGGTCTCGGTCCCATTAAAATATAGGCTTCTCGAATCATAAAGAACAATCATAGAGAATGTAGAAAAGAATGCATAGGCCGTGCAGGACCTTGTAAGTGCATCATATCTAACAGTCCAAAAAACAATAAACATGTACATAATATATGTATATTACCTCAAACGTCCATGAATAGGTTCGGGAGCATGAATGACCTGTGCACCATGGACATAACCTAAAGCCTGCAAATAGTTTTCGCTTCTTAACAGCTAATATGCGGGGAAATTAATTAACACATCAACAGCTCCTAAGTTAAATTATAACAATTCTACCATTCACATTCTACAAGCCCAGTACATCATGTCAAATATATATATTATATATATACCTGGTGACCGAGACAAACACCTAAAATAGGGATATCACTGCATTCAAGGAGCAGCCTGAGGCATATTCCTGAGATTCACAAATAAGTCAAGTTCAACAATCCTGATATGATAACCAAGTCAAAAGTCAAAAAGAAACTTTAAGTGCTATAGAATGTCACAAATCAAAAGAAAACACATGCACACAAA